TTGCCTGGCAAGGAAGCACGATTTGATGTAGTCCTGGGATGGCTCCTGAGGATGGCTCCTGAGGGTAGCTCCTGGGACCAGGGATGGCTCCTTGCTAACTAGAAATTAGATCAAAACAACTTTCCAGGAAGTCAGTATTTTCCAACTTAAATGGGGGCATAAAACTGAAAGAAGAAAATTCATATGTTTGGGTAAAAATTAGGGTTTAAAATTATATAACATGGATCGGTGGAAATAGATTTTGCCTTATTTCTCTCAGTTTTGATCTTCAGGGTGTGGATTCTTACATTCCCCTGCAATGCTGCAAACCCAAGAGCTTGAGGTTAGATCATAGGAAGCAGAAAATGAAAGTGGCCACCAACAGGGAATTGGTGTAAGCTCCCAAGGATGCTATATGAGACACCGAGAAAATGCAGTGAATTCGAAAAGGGACTTGAATGTTAGTGAGAGTAGTAACTAAGTAAAATTAGTATACTCTCAACAAATCTAGTAAATTTCACTGTTATGCATAAAATACTTCCTGAGTTTTAAAATAAAACTGTCTTCAATGTTTTGAAATCTATCGTTAAAACTTTAGACGTACAAAAGTTTTACTTTTAAAAAATACTCATATGCATATATTTCTAACTAGGTATTGTGGCTCACTCTTGTAATCCCAGCATTCTGGGAGATTGAGGCCGGAGAATTACAGATTAGGGCCCCACCTGGACAAGTTAGTGTTTAGAAAAACTCTGTCTGAAAAAATAAAAGGGGGCTGGGGATGTAGCTCTGGACACCATTCCCGGTAGCACAAAACAAACAAAACAGCAAAGTCGTACTACTTACTTATTTCGCCATAAACTGATCACCTTTGCCTTTTGCTTCTATTTATGTACATGGAAAAAAGCCTGGACTTATTTTCATCGCTTTGGTATAAGAACTGTTGACAGAATTTGTTGAAAGAATCTGAGTAAAATGTGTTTTTAGAGAACTGACAGATTTAAAATGATAGTTTTCACACAACTGTGACTTAATTAGTCCCCTTATGAAATTTAACTTATTTTAACTGAAAATAATGAATGAAATTAAACTATGTATATTATGTGCATTTCTGTAAATTATGCTTAATGAATTTTAACACTTAGGTTCTTATTTTATCATATTCTTGAAATGAGGAATTCTTATATTTAGAATTCCTTATTTGTGTTTGATTAAGAGAGTTTCTGAATCCATCTAGGGATTTTTAAATGTTTTCTCTATTTCAAGCAGTTTAATTAATAATTCAAATACTGAGGGTCTGTTATGCATTAAGAATTCCAATGGATGATGGAAATACAAGAGCGAGCAAAATTAAAATAGCCCTTGCCAGACATAATGGCACACACCCGTAATACCAGCAATTGGAAGGCTAATGCAGGAGAATCACAGCAAGTTCAAGACCAGCCTGAGCTACATAGCAAGACCCTGCCTCTCAAATAAAAAAGATAAATTAATAGCTCTTATTTCCAGAAAGAATACAGGAAGAACATCTAATCCAGGCTTTGTGTTTGGAGAGAAAACTTTCCTGGAAGTGGGGATATTGGAGCAAGTGTTCTGTGCTCAGTAGGAGCCAATCAGGGTGGGAGGAGGAGGGCTTACAGGAGGAGAACAACAGTGTGTGAAGCCGTGATCACAGTCAAGCTCAACTGATTCACAGAGACAAATAGTCAGTGGGTTTGGAGTGAAAGAAGGGAGCTGAACAGCGGCAAAAGAGGCCTTAGAAGTTATTTGGGATCTGATTTTTGGAGGATTTATGCAGCACATCAATATTTCAGGCATTATGTTTGAGTGATAAGGAATTGATATGGTTTTTAAGATTCAGGGTTAACATCAAGTTAGTATTTTAAAAGGTTTTGGCCTTTGTGGGCAGTAGTTTCGGAGCAGAACTGAAGGCAGAGAATATAGGGTAGAATGGTAAAATAATCCAGCAGTGTCTAGAAGCTAGTAATCAACAAAAACTCTGTGGCAACTTGGAGGTGTATGGGTGGCACAGTTAGCATAGCTTGGTGCTTGTGGTTACTGGTGGCAGAGATGGAAACACAGCCTGAGTCCTGGAACAAGCTCCTTCCTCCTGTGAGGGAAGCTGGAGGGTGATGTGGCATTCACAGGAGGCAGAGGGTGACAGTGGGGAGCAAAGAGGTGGGGTTCCATTTGGGCTCAATTAAAGGTAAAGTACTTACTGCACAGACAGAGATAACCAGTCGATATCATGTAAGATTCTGAAGCTAAAGAAAGAAATAAGGGCTGGAGAATGGTTCATAATTGAATATTACTGTTCTTAAGTTGTACTGTGATTCAGGAGAGGAACTCAGTGGTCCACGTTAAGGACCACTTAGATAAATGTCACACTTAGCTTTCAGTATCACCTGTACCTTACAGTTCTCTGGCTTCCTCAGGGTCCATCCACAAATTGGCAATACCTTGACTATAATTAAGTATTCAATCCATTGACTACTGGATTATGGACTGTGAGCCATTAAAAAATTCAAACACATGCAAAAAGCTTTACAAGTCAGTATCTGGTAAGAAGCTATCCCTATTTTCTTTTTCATCCGATGACTCAGGATAGACATAAATTCAGTTTAGGATCAACTTGTGCGAAAGAAAATTGCTAACTATAAAGCCATCTTCTAAATGAAAAGAATGTATCTTTTAAGTTTGAAAATATTTTATGTCTTACATTTGGTTGTATTTTAATCTTTAGAGTTTCTGATCACAAATAAAATGAAAGGCTTTGCTAGTCATACTCACACTATTTATAACATGCATAAATTTATGCTCTATCAGTTAAAATGGTGACATTTATAGGTTTTTGATATATCAAATGGACACATATCTTGAAAGTTATTAAAATGATATTGTATGATGAGACTGTTTCACAAGAAAAGATATTTTGTGGGAAATTTCAGTATTATTTCCGATAGTATATCTCACTTTGCATTTATCTTGATATGCAACACAAAATGTAGGTTTGTTTCAAACATCATTTTCTAACATGAAAACTGTCTGAAAAGTGATGTTAATAGTAGTGTCCATTTTGCTTGCATGGTGCTGGGCTGGAGAGAGGATCCTATCAGAGTAAAGGTCATCTCTGAGAGTTAGTGGGGTAATAAAGCCCTCCTATCAGAAAACTACTTTCTTTTCTCTGCAATATATGTCCCATGTTGTCTGTTTAGTTTATTGTGATAGATAATTTATCCTGGATTCTATCCTATAAATTTTTTTACTAATGATTACTGTTCAGTATGCAGTGATTTTTTTTTTTTTTTTTGGTCTTTTTCTTTTTTTTTTATTGGTACCGGGGATTGAACTCACGACTGCCTGCTTGGGAGGCAGGCGCTTGTGCCATTGAGCTAAATCCCCAGCCGCTCAGTGATTCTTTTTAAACCCCTAAAAATTAATGTGTGTGCTCTAGGATTAGAAAAAGAATGGGTAGGGACTTGCCCAAAAAGCAGGTAAAGGCAGTATTCAATGCTGGCAACAAATGAAGTTTATTTGTTGTATTTAACTGATAATAGAGTGCTTTCCAAATTGGATTTTATGAGTTGTTTCATGAGTAGAGAGTGTTGATTTTGAATTAAAGAGACCTGATCTTGGTTGTACTTACAATTTTATACAACAGAATGCTATGGACAGTATTAATTTTTTTGCATAGTCTCTGTAGAGGCAGCTTTCCTTTGGCCTTTCTGGTGACATTTCTGGCCCTTCTGCCACATTAGAAGGCATGTGATTTGAGCCTGACCGCTCACATTATCCAGATCCAGGGATGTGCCCATCTTGAGGCTCAGTAGTGCCTCAAGAATGGGAGAAGACATTGGAGATGTTGTGTCTCCCTTTCCTCCCTTATGGCTGTGAAGCAAGGTAAGTTTGCTTTCACTGTGGAAATAAACCTTGTGTCAGACAGGACAGGCTAAGGTTATCATATATTAACAAGCTCTATGGGCATATTACTGGGTCAGTAATTAATAACACATTTTTTCTTTCCACACAGCAATTTGCCATGGGTCCAGGTGATAGCTTCATGGGTCAATACATTCTTTTCTTAGTTGCCGAAGTTGTTATGAATTGGGCTTTTGTGTCTTAAAGCTGAAAAGGTCTTGTGCAAAAACAAATGCACTATATTGAGATTTGCTTCAGTAGAAAGGAACACTATTTTAGGAGAGACAGGAAGAGACAAAGGGTTAAGGATAGCAGTAGGATTTACTCTAACACTGATTTAGGACCTTTTAAATTAAAACTGTTGATCTAACTTACTCGTTTTATTAGAAGGGAAAGCTGAAGTAAACTATTTGCAGAACACTTAGGCTACTTACTAAAGGTCACAGAGTAATTTAGGGACAGGAAATTCAACCAGAAAAAGGGCTTTAGACTTCTCACGTTTCTTTAATTGCTTTCTGGTTTCTCATACAAATAAAGGTAAAACTTATTATACAGAAAAGTTTTGAAGACCACTTATAAACCTCCAGAGGAAAGAAGTGTATATGAGATTAGCTAAACATAGTGGGTGTACTACCTACAAGCTGAAAATCATATTAAAAGCCTGTGTTTTATTTAGGGCAGCAAGAACAATATTGAATTAAAAGATCAGTTTATAGAATGACTAGTCAACTCTTGAGAGCAGAGATATGGGGCCTCATCTCGAAATGCATGAGAAGGGATGTTGGGAGCAGTTCCCTTTATGGGCTGAAGACCAGGAACTGGTGGGATAGTGTGGCCTTGAAAATTCATGGGGATTTCAGAGCTCCCTTGTGCATCAGATGTAGGTCATGAATTTTAGCAGGTAAATGTGTGATGCAGATTTGTCTGAATTTATGCTATTAAAATATGCTGCATCAAACTGACCTCCACAATAACCTGATAAAAATATAATCTAACTAATTTGGAGCTGTAGTTCACACACATGAACTCTTTTCATACTGTACTGGGCCACCTTCTGACTTCACTTTTTTTTTTTTTTTTTTTTTTTGGTCTTAATCGGTTACTGAATAATTATAGTTAAAGATTTGTTACTACAATTTAACCAAGGAATTGAATGCATAGTAGAATTAAAAGGGGGTAGGTACTCTTGTGGAGATGAATATATTAGCTCCTGTAGGTCTTAATGGCCCATTGGTTTCCAAAAATTAAACTAACTTCTTTCTTCTTGGTTGAAAAAAATTACTTTGAAAACTTTTTTTTTGTTTTTCTCAAATTATAAAGCATGTATACCTAGATAAAGCATGAGTGCTATTATGACAAGATAACAACAGTATAAATATATTTCCTGTCAGAAAGAAAGCACCCTAAATTGATAGCAGACCAATCCTGATCAATTACAATATTGCCATATTGATCCTCTGGGTTCTCACTGACTGTTGTGACCACTAGGGTGAGATTTCTACAGCCTCCAACGCACTCCTTGCTCTAGCTTTACCAAACTGGAGATGCTTTCTCAGCCTGACAGCCTGTGTTCCCCTGCGATAGGTTTGGTCCAGTCTCTTATCTTATCTTATCTTATCTTATCTATCTTAGTCCTTTCTCCTACTTGCTGTGCCTGGTATCCTTGCCTACTCTCAAGCAATGTATTTCTGTTCCCACTGTTGTCTTTAGTGATATGATTTTTCTGATTGTTATCCTGGGTCTGAAGTGACATTGCATTTTCCAGCCCATTCAAATTTATGGTCAATGTGATTTTCTCTGACCAGTGAGACATGCAAGGAGTGGGAGTGCTGCTCCTTACAGTGGAGATCCTTATTAGCCAGTCCAGTTCACCATGTTTCCATCCCTTACTGCCACAGAGTCAGTGCTGTTGCACATAATCTATCCTAAGTTCCAAAGTGAGAACAAGGCACAGGAAAACCCCCAGAATTTTAGTGGACATGTATAGTTAATGGAGAAGAAATGCTTGGTATTGTAACATACTAAGATTCTGGGGTAGGTTATTATATCACCAAAATGTAGTCCTTACTGAATGATACACGCTCCTATGAGGTTCTCCTTCTTTGTCAGTACAGCATGTTGATAGCATTTTGAGTGTTTATTATATCAAGGCTTTGTGTAAGGGGATTTATTTATGCTATCTCACTTATTAATAGTATTAATTCATGTATGCTTACAGATTTGGCTTCAAATCCTATATTCCTAATGCTTATACTTGTTTGCTCTTATTTGCCACATTATCCAACAAAAATCCATTCATTTGTGCATCGTGGCCAGTTCTGTATGAAGTCTGAGGGTTAAAATATGGATTAGAAATAGTTTTTGTATGATAAACTAATAGAAAAAAAGAAATGTAAGCAAATACAAGGATGTGTTAAAATGTTAATAGAGCACAGAGAGTGCTGGGAAGATTTAGCATCAGAATCTCCTTCTTCCATCGTGTGGTCTTGGATGGATATCTCTTACCACACCTTGTGACCTTTCCAACTTCCTTTTCTCATTCTTAGTGGAAATTTCAAAGACCTTAAACTACTCAATGGGTTTATGCCTTATTCAAAATAGCATAAGCAATGCATGAGACAAGTGTTTGAAGCCCTGCGTACACCACAGCTCACAAGCAATGGTAATTTCTGTCTGGCAGAGGTGTTTCAGGGACTGCTCTCAAAAACATGCAGGAGGGAACATAGAACTTGTTTCAGGGAAAAGGAACAGAAAAGTTGTATGGAGAAGTTGATGCTTGACTTGTGTTCTTAAAATGAAGAGATTTTATTCTGATGGGGTAGAAAGGAAGTACATTCCAGCATAAAGGAAATGAAGTTTGAATAGTTATGAAATATTTGAGGAACTACAAGAAATTTATTTCAAGAATGTGGAGCACAGTGGGAGAAGGCAGCAGGCAGTCTTAGTCAGCACTGATATTGCACTGGCCATACAGAACCACTGCAAGAGTTCCTCTGGGCTAAGGCTTATAAGGCATGGGTTTGAAAGCAGAGCAGATGGGTCGAGGACAGGAAAGACACAGATGAAACAAAGGAAGCTGACTGGAAGACCGATGCAGAGAGAAACCATGTGGACAGAGAACAGAGCAGAGAACAGATATAAGTGAAGCTAGAGAATTAGGCTGGTGAGAAATCTACCATGTGTAAATTTCAGGCATGGGGAAAAGAGAAGAACTCAGGACAGCTTCACTGTTTCTGATTTGGTAACTGAAGAGTTGTTTGAAATTAAGATCAAAAGTGTAGAAAGAGTTTTGTTTTTCAGCTATCAGAGTTTTAGTTTGTTTGTTTTTGTTTTTTGAGACAAGGTCTTGCTTTGTAATTCAGGCTGCTCTGGAACTCACCATGTAGCCTAGACTGGTCTCCTGCCTCAGTCTCCCAACTGCTGGGATAACAGGAGTGTGCCACTACCCTCAACACAACCATCAGATTTTGTATATGAAGACTATTTACCTTAAAAATTCAATCTGAAGCATTGTCAAAGCAAAAGGAGAAATTTCCACTCCTCGTGTTAGCTCCTGTATACATTTAAAAATATATGTATGTATCATTTTAAACAGAATTTTTCAGTTTCTGTCATACAATAATAGCCTAAGCAACTTTCCACTTAATTGCACAGGAGTAGTTTAATTGTTAGTATAAAGGGATATGTCTCCCATTCCATTAGGATGTTTTTGCTTATTTCTTTATATTTACTTCTACAAGTAATGGTATCATAGACCCTCCTGAGGAACTATCTTTGCCTATTGGAGATAGTATGGGAACTATTTTTTTTTTTTTTTATGTTTCATGTTTAAAAACACTGCATTCGGTTTTGTGCATGCAGTTTCTAAGATAACTGATGGACAGTGAATGAGTAGGTCACCTACCTAGTTGAACAAGATGGGTCTGGTGTTTAAGAAGAAAGGCTGAGCTGGAGTTAAGTATTTGTGGGGTATCAAAATATGAATGGTACCAGAAGCTGTGGGTAGAGATTCATTGGAAATATTTGTTGAAGGCCTATTGTTGGCTAGGTGCTAAATTGTCTTTGGGAAATAATAATCTCTAACTTCTCAGAGCTTTACTGCAGATGGAAAAAGACGGACGACAAAGGAATAGTCACAAATATATTGTTAAACATTGTAATAAAGATTGCAAAAGAGAGGAAGTGGAGCTAGGAAGGAACTGACATTTAGAGTTCATCCTAGGGTTATGCCACCCCCCTCCATGTCTTTGCTAACCTTAAATATTTTCTTTATGTACCTGTCTTGATTGCTACACTTGCTGTGTATACTAGAAGAAAACATGTTTTGTAAGAACCGGCTTAAAAAGTATTCCCAGTTTAGATGGTGGTTTAATTCGTGTGGTTTTATCACCTGCTTCAGCTAATTGCAGGTTAGTAGGCCACTGTTGGCTTGTACCACCTTTTCTTTATCCATTCTTTGGTGGATAAACATTTATGTTAATTGCTACTTCAGAAACAACGTAGATAACACTGAGCCTTCCCTCTCTGTTTCCCATCCTGTCTCACATCTGAGTGTCAGTACAATGACTGCAGTGATGTCACTGTGCTCAGGATTCAGACTCGCCCAGGCCTCATGTGAACAGTGTGGGAGGGACGCAGAGTGCATTAGGAAAGAACAACACATCTTGAGTCGCTGCTTTCTGGGAGCCTTGCCTTCGGTTCTCAGAAGCCTCACACTGTGGCAATTTCCTGTGTTTTCCCTAGCATGTCTGCAGCTACAGTGTGGAGTGTTAGAAGTGTCATTTTTGCTACTAAATATTACTTCTCTCTTTTTGTGTTTTAACTGCTTCTTGCTTAACAGTATATGGAAAACCATTTCCTTGACCTTTATATGACTAAAGTACAGTGCTTACACATCGTAAAGTATCAGTGATTTTTTAAAGGGTTGCTATGGGCCGTATCTTTTGCTAAGGCTTCCTCAGCAGGGCTGCATAGCAGATTCCTGGGAAGAGCTTCACAGCTCCTTACCTAGGCTCATTCACACAGACTCTTTAGCATGAATTCACGCTTTGAAAAAATACCCATCAACTAACTGTCAAAGTTGGCTCAAGATATTCTCTGAAAAGGAGGCCTATCACTGGTAACTATGTGCTTATGATATATGTTAATGTGATTTTGTATTTTTGGTATGAAATTAACTGCTTTTATATGTTCTGAATTTATTGCAATTTTGTTTTCATGTTGAGAGGCACATACATTCTAATGTAACACAGAAAACAGTGTGGATTAGGTGAGTCTTCATGAAGCAGGTTGTTTGCCTTTTAAGTGAGCCTTGTTCCTATACAATGTATGATTCAGGAGCTCTTAATTTGTAAGGCTTGAACTTTTTATTGTATGGGTGCTCTCCTTATGAATAAGAACACAAAATGATCTCAGTTTCAGAAATTTCATAAAAGTGTGATAATGTGAATTCATTAGTTTTATAAGTTTGTCTGTTCTCAGCCAGGCATGGTAGCACAGCACACATCTGTGATTTCCACACTCACAAAGCTGAGGCAGGAGGATCGTATGAGTTCCAGACCAGCTTGGAACATAGTGAGTTCAAGCCAGCCTGAAATATGTAAAAAGACTCTGTCTCAAAAAAAACAAAGCAAAACAAAACAAAACAAAACAAACAAACAAAAAACCAACCAAAGAAAGAAAACAAAAGCACCCAAACAACCAATAAAACCCCCCAAAACTCTGCCTTTATTCTTTTTCCCTCAAATACTGTTTCCCACTTTCTACAGTGACTGAAATTGTACATTTGGAAGAGCGCTGTAGTGGTACATTTATTTCTCTACAACTGTTCGATTAAGATTGAGATATCCCCTGAGAGAAGCCCAAACACTTTAGCCACAGAGGCAAATAGGTTTCTTCTCCAGGCCAACTCCCATGGGTCAGGAGCTACACCCTGCAGTGCTCTGCTGAGAAGAAAGATTGGTATGAGAAAGATTGGTGGTGAGTGGGGTGGGCCAGGGAGAGATTGGAAGTTGGAGTGGGGAGGTAGGGAGGCAGTGTGGACTCCAGGGAACTTGGTTACTCTCTCTGCTCTTTGTTATTGCTCTCTGACTTCCCGTGAACTAATGTCTTCATGTGAATTAATCACTATGACACTAATTTCTTCTATCACTGTCAAAGTCTGTGGGTGACACTGGGCTGAGGGCGTGGTGAAAAGAGAAATGAACAGCAAATTTAGAACAAAAGGACTGAAGGTTTGGATCCCAGAGAAGCTTATCAACACTTTTTGCTTTGTATATCTCAATCTTAGTGTCTGTTTCTAAAGATACCGATTATGGGAGAAGTGGCTTACTGTCTTCTAACATATGCCAGTAATTACTGAAACAAGGGCAGAAGCTGATTCAGTGTTGTTATGGTAGATGGGCTTTTTAGTTATGGAATTCTTTTTATTTAGAGACTTTGATATGAAGAAATATGATTATAAATATCCCTAATATGTCAGAAAGGCATGTGGGATTTTACTGTTTATTTAATGTACTTAAAAACAAATAAAAGCCTCAGAAAATAGAAGGCAAACTGTCGACTGTTTTGTAAAGTTTTAGAAGGGCTAAAAAGTTGTAGGCCAGCAAGATTTTAATGCAACAATGTCAGAAGGCTGCAACACCTGAGATAGGAAATCTTAAAAACAATTACCCTTGTGAAATGAATTTGAAGCACAGGGCAAATGAATCAGAAAGTACTGGAGTCTATCAGTTCTTGAATGATGACTGAACCTTTGAGCACTATGTACAGCTAATGCTGCTTTTAGCATCTGATATGTTTACGAATTAAGTTCTTATTTGTGAGGCAGGACTGAGGGTAAATAAAGAATAATAGTTTTTGGATGTACTTGATGCAATGGTGTCTGAATATTTAAAGCCAGTTTAGCAGTTCTGCAAGCCCCACTATAGGCAATACTGTGTGATTAGATAGTTTCAAGACCACTATAGAGCACACATTGTGCAGTGAAACATCCTGCACAAAATACAGAAATATGAAGACATAAATAGCTGGGGGAAGAATAGTAAGGTGTAATAAAGAAAAAGAGTCTTATAGAACACTGGGGTGAGCAAGAAGAAGGGGCGCTCTAATGTCTAAAAACGAACTTTGTAACAAATGAGTACTAATTGAATTTAAGGGCACATTAAAATATTTAATATGCACATATGTGAGTAGGTATACATATACAAACACACACAGAATTTGGTTTCTTGAATAGAAGTAAAGACTCTCTAAACACAATTCACTTTCTCATTGGATTGAGTTTTACCCTGATGTACCAACCTCGCTTTACAGAGAACTCATTCACTACCATTTGCACAGACAATCACTCTTTAGAGCTGCATGTTGGCTTGCAACCCTTTCTCTGTGGAGTGGTTAGCATCTTGGAAAGACTGCAGGCTGTTGGCAATGCATCTGCAGCATGGAGCACTGAAAATCCAGGGAGTCTATGAACTCCCAGGTGGGTGACTGATTATAAAGTGTCAGATTGTCACTTGGACTGGGAAGTGTTGATCTGATAGACATGAAGGCTTCCAGAGGGGAAGGGGCCAGTCATTTGAGGAGGTGAAGTTTCCAGGGCCACAGTGTTATGTCAGTGGTGCTGAAAGCAGCAAGCTTTCAACAGTTGGAATCAGTTGGAGGGCAGTTGGTCAGGCCCTGGCCTGAGACAGTTGGGCCATGGAAGACCTTACTGATGTGTTACTTGTGACTCTCTGAGGACCTGCAAAAGTCCATGTTTCTGGGACAGACTGTGTAACTGATCCAAATCCAAGAGTGAGGTGGCTGACCAGGCCAGAGGACTGCCTGTGAGCTGTTCTGCTGGTCAGTGTACCATTCCTGATTCTGGCCACACCCCCAGCGGTTGATGGCTGCCTATGGGATGGCAGGATTATATGGTGAGAGAATGCTTGCTCAAATGATATCAGAAATGAGTGTTTAGTAAGCCTGTAGTGTGTAACTAGGTGTTCTCTTAGGCTGTTTTAAAGACACTGAGCTTTCTTAAAAAGTTGTGTTAACATACCAGGATGTAACTGGGTTGAATCTTATATTTTCCTAAAGTATGTTAAGTGATGGAAGCATAGCTTCAGAGGTTTCCCTGGCTTTTCATTTTTCCAAGAGAATGTAAGACAGAATGATAAGAAAACAAAAACAAAAAGTCATTGTAATACAATTTATCAGAAATAAACATGGAAAAAAGAAAGAAAAATGGAAAAAAAAAAACCCAACTGTAGAGGCACTCTGCATTTGTCAAACAGAGAAGGATGAATGCAAATAAACACTTCTGGCTTAAGAAGGTGAGGGCTTAAATTTTACTTTTTTTTTTTTTTTTTTGGTGGTACCAGGGATCAAACTCACGACTTCGCACTTGCCAGGCAGGTGCTTATGTCCCTGAGCTGAATACCAGACCCTTGCCTTTGCTTCTTATTTGCTGTTTTTTTCTTTTTCAGCAGAGCATTTATTACTTACGAGAAGTACTGGGAATTACAATAGTGAAAGAGTTGGCATTAAATTCATTATTATGTTTGCGTTCTTTAAAATTCATTCGTAGTTGTCCTATACTACAACAGTTCTAAGATTACCAGAGTAAAATATATTAGAATAGGTTGCATGTCTGCATTAACATTAATGATAAACCAGAAAGTATTTATAGTAAGACTGTTTGCCACCTATTTTGAAGGGTAGGAGATACATATATGGGGAGATTGAAAGTAGGAAGGAGAGCTTTCCATAACTGGACATCTCCAAATATGAGAAAAGATGAAGTGATGCAAGAGGAGTGATGGGTGCTCCTTGCATCATTTATATGTTAGGTCTGTAGTCATACACCTCGTGGACTAATAGGAAGGATATAGAAAGCAGAATCCAGGGAACCATATATTGTGCACTTAGCATGCTCCAAAAATACATTAAGAATTTTACATGCATTGCCTTTATTTGTCTTCACAAGGGTCCTTTAAAGATTAGTACTACTGTTGTCATCAATTTTACAGGTACAAACCTTAGGATAAATCCATTGCCCAAGGTCATAGAGTAGGGACCAGTTTCTTTGTACCCTCAATACAAATGAAGTTTTCATGCTATGGAATAACTACAGTGCCACCATTTTAATTTTGGAAAATTTGGGACAGTTTTTCTGAGCATAGTTTTCCTGTTTGGAAGAAAATTTCATAATAAATTGCCAATGCATGGCACACAACTCCTGAAGGTTACACTTTTAAAGATACTTGATACTGTTAATATTTGTCATCTCTTCCCACATTGTGAGGTGAGGAAAACAGATAGTAAATGTGAGTAGTAAGGTTTGCTTTCAAAATTTGAAATAGTAGATTCTACTATTTTCTGGTACAATTAAATAATTTCTAAAATCTGTTTTGGCAAATTAAGATTTAATTAGCAATCTCCAAACACATTCAGAGGTTTTGTCCTTAACCAAAATAAGTTCAGTAAGTGCAGTAAGAAAGTGTTTTTAAACCTAGGAGAATATTTTTGTCTTACTTCTGACACTGAGTGGGCCAGGAGACCAGAGACCAAACTGTCAGTTCAGTTAGTACTTTTGCTATCCTAAGTATTTGTCTCATAAAGAGACATCTGTTTCTTCTGACATACATACAGGTCAAATGTAGCCAATCTCCATTGCCTGTACTCTTCCTTTATAATGGCATCACAGTCTTTTTCCTATTAGCTTGTATTTAAATTCTGTTATTTAAAAATAGAACATTAAGCCCTATGAGAGATACGGCCAAAATTGTAAGTAGTCCTAATTATCATTCAGATTTTGTCTTGTTTACTTTGATTGTATATTACTACAATTTTGTTCACAGCCATTAAGCTATCTGGAAAAGAACTAAGTGAAATATGTGGTGTAGGCATTATGTTTCTAAAGTAAATTTGTTCTTGTCCTATGAAATACATCTAAATGTGCTAAATTGGGCTTTTTGAGGGAGTTCTTCCTATTAGTTGGTCATATTTAATTTCATGCACATGTTAACACTAATCAAATTAACCTAAAGGGAGAAAATATTTTGTGGCTAAGACTTGAATTCTACACAAGAAAATGCTTAGGTGCAAATACACAACCAAAGACTGGCTTACTTTTCTGCAGAAAAAATTTTAAGACTTGAGGTAACTTTATGAATAACTCAGAATTAAAACAACAAAATGACAACAATAACAAAACGATATAGGATTTCTGAACAATGGTTTTCATCAGAGAATCTGGATTTTAGAATTAGATGGTCGTTTAAAAATCCAGCTTTGTCAATCAGTAGACACTTGTTTTTGAGAAAATTTAACTTCTCTGAATTTCCTTACCTGTCAGGTGGGGTTGAAACTCTGTGCACTGGATCTTGTTTAGCATACCATGCTCATATCCTGCTTTCCTTTAAGTGCATTTCTTTTGTAGATGACACAGGAGAGTACATGGTTCTCTGTGGCTCAGCACAGATTTCCCTGCTGCGTCACGTAATGTCATTTCTATTTTGGATGATACTAAATTTGCTCACTAGGTTCAGATGGTGTCCACCAGATGTCACCACTCTAAAAGGTGTCTTTTTCTCATTTGTAATAAATAAGCCATGAAATGATACTTTTTGAGATTATGTGAAATCCTATCTCAACACCCTATCATCCAGTGGTTTTAGCATTCATTGATGATATTAGCTGAAATTATTTCTTTGGGTCTTAAAAAATGATTATTATATATTAATTGCTTATTGATAACTTCTTTTTAAAGTTTGTGTTAGTGATCCATATTTGTGCCTCTTTTGCTCATATTAGAATATTGATCCTTATAGAAACTTTCTCAATTAAAATGTTTTAAAATTTACTTTATATAAAGAAGCTTTAAATTAAACCTGACTGTTCTATAGGGAATGTGTTTTATATGGTAATACAGCTTTTGCCTGTTAGTAGTTTGGGTGGATATTTGATCTGTTGAGCATATGCTCTTTCAGACAAAGATCACTGATGTATGAATGGGTCAGTTTTGTGAATCTTTAAAGTTTCTTTTGTTAACAGAATAAAGTCCATTGAAAACAGTGTAAGGTATATTCACTTCTTTATTTTAAGATAAAATACAGTATGTTCAGTAACTGCTTTAAATTTTTTTTAAGTGGGTATACTTGGAATTGAACTTAGGACCTTGTACTTGCTAGGCAGGCATTTATGTTGTTGAGCTATATCCCATACCTTAAGGGTTTTTTTTTTTTTTTTTTTTTTTTTGGTTTTGTTTTGTTTTACATCCTTAAAGAGTTATTTTTGCTCTTGAGTTTGTATCTCCAGAGTGTTAGGTGAGCTTGACATTGCCTTTTGGCCGAAACTGCAGAACAAGGTATGACCAAATTAATGATGCTTGCAGCAGTTCAAGTCTTTGACGATTCACTGCACACAGCTGTGGTTCTTATGATTGGGAAACCTGGGCTTTGGATGAGAGACAGGAGCTGGAACTGAGAGATTTACTATAGCAGCAGAGTACCACAGAGAGACAAATGAAATGATGAACACTTTCTATGTTGACATCAACTACAATTACCCTGATTTTCTTTCAAGTGCAAAACTCAAAACTCATTCCAAGTTTTGCCTTTAAAAAAATAAAAATAAAGCCACATTGTAAATAGTTATCAAGAAAAATCTTTGAAATCCATTTAGCTGTTTTTTGGGCTGTGGAAGAAAGTCCCTCTTTCTGCTGGTACTTTAATAGAAGCTACCCCTTCCTTTTCTGCCTCTGTCTCCCTCCCTCCATTTCTTCATTTTCATTCCCTTTCTCCCTATTTATTATTGTTTTTTTATTTTGCTCTTTACTTATATTTTGGGTTTTTCATATAAGAAAAAAATCCATGTGACATTTAAGATGTTGTGTCTTATTTCACTTAGCACTGTTGTCTCAAGGTGTATCCCTGTCTACCTATGTGCCCTTCAGCAGATGAATGGGTAAGGAGGTAATTAAAACACGAAAAGAGTATCACTGGTTCAGTATTATTTAGAGCAGAAATGCTTCAATATCTATATATCTATATATCTATATATATCTGATGATTAAAGCTGTTTTTATGCTTTAGTATCAGGAGGACAGTTTCCCAAAGGAATCTTTACGGCTTGCCACATGTTCAAAAGACAGGTGAAATAATGAACTCAACAGTTACAGGTCCTCAGGTGATTTCAGTTTGAACAATAAGTATGGAAGTTTAGCATATTTTGAGGTGCCACATTCTACAAGGTACTTTTACATCTTGAGTTTTGTTTAAATAACTGAGGATGTTAGACTAGTAATTTTGTATATAAAACTGAGCAACGCAGCTCCCTGTCTGTCAGCTTGACACGCATGCACATCTTCAACCTTAATTATTCTCCAAATAGTAAGGACATACTTCTATATAACATGATGCAGATTCCTTCATATAATCCAAAATATGCTGATTCTTTTTCCAGAAGAGGGTGCAAAAGTTCTTGATGTTTCCTTTCTTTAATATCTTGTAACCTATTACTGTAAATATAAAGTTGACGACTATTAATACATCTTATGTATAGGCAGAAGGGGATAGGAGAAGAAAGAAAAGAAAGATATGTGCTTAGAAGTTTCTAAACACATTAATAACAAAATAGCAAGTATTCCTAACCATGTATAGTCTTCATTTCTGTAACTGGCCACCTTCTCATAAATGGTATTTGTATCTATCTTCTTTTTTTGTACTGGGGATTGAACTCACGACCTCACACTTGCCAGGCAGGTGCTTATGCCACTGAGCTAAATCTCCAGCTGTAATTATCTTCTTATACTCTTCATTCTATTTACTTATTGCCCTTGGGAAGCACAGCTGGTCATCGTTCTTTTCCATGATTTGAGTGACCCAAATCTTCATTTCTGCAGAACCCAACCGCTAGCAGTCCTGAGTTACTG